GGCGTTAACCTTTCAGAAAGGACAACATTCCACGTCACTCGTCCAGGATGTCCGATTTCGTGGCGTACGGGGAGATTATCGTCAGCGCGTATGCAGAGACCCGAGCTTTCATTCCGACTTGTTTGCAAGTGCAACCAACCTTTCGAACTGAGAAAATGGAACCAATATCTCAAACTCGTGGGTACAAGAGTCCGTTATCGTATATTAGACGTTCTTGTGAGCGCGAGAAGAATTGAGGATCACTTGGTGCCACACATAACTCTACATCATTTCTTTCAGCGCCTTTCACAAACTGCTCTAGCTAGATGCCAACAGCGTTACAGCTCATGATTCGATGGATGCAGTCACCTCGGAGAGATACGTTAAGCATGGCGTTTTCGTTTGGCAGGACTTCTGGATGCCGACGGCGCTATTTTCAACACTATGATGAACAGTAATGTGCGAGAGGTAGCGGGCGTCTCGTATGTCAATATTGTTAGGCGGGAAAATGGCTCAGTGCTTGAGGAGGGGTCCAGCACACGTTGACCATTGATACCTTGCTGAACTATGGGCTCACAGAGCCCCATTTATCGGCCCCGTTTACGATGCACTGTGGAGACCAAGTCCACTTTTACTTTGCTTGGATGCGCAAAGTCAAGCTTCCACACGAATCAGCACACCGTAGGGCAATGCCGAAGATAAAGCGCCCCATTTCGATACTCTCTGCGGCAACAGCACGGTACAGCACGACCCGAGCAGCAATGTAGCATCTCATCATTGGAGGTGTCGTCAAGCACTCGTCCGGTAGTAAAAATACACAGAAGCGCCGGATGAACGTACAGTCTGCGCTACGACACAGGTGCTGGAGGAGTTGTGGATCATCGCTAGTTCCAGATTAGTTGCAATGATACGGGAGACCCACTACTAATTTCCAAGCCTACTCGCTTACGCCCATCGGAGGTTTATCATTGGCAGGGCCTGACATTGAGTTTGTCGCTTCAGTTGTCGAACGTTTGAAATGGATCAAACAGTCTCAATAAAACAGCGCACCAGCTTTCATGACCTTGGCGAAACTTTGAGCTGCAATCAACGAAGGAGCAAACATAGTCAAGCCCCATTCATGTGTCAACTCTAACCAGTAGATGGCGCGGCAGCAGCAACACCGCAGCTGTGGCAAAGTAAACACTCTATTACGCTACTGCTCCCCCCGTCAGGAAGCAAGCCATCAGGTGAGTGAAGATTCAAGAACCTTCGAGTACTCGTGGTACGGATGCCGCTCGACAAACTTCTGAGCGAGGTAGCCGATGAGGAGCGCGACTACATTGAGCGAGAAACTGCTCCAGGACTTGGTCAATTCGTTCATCATGATAAATACTCCCAGCGTGAACGGCAGTACCATGGCCGCCACCAGTGAGCGATCAGACAAGTTCACGCGGTACGGTCGATCGATCTCAGGATGCGAGAACCGCATACGCACAGCTGCACTCATCTCGACGAGAGACGACAGTGCCGACAAGAAGTTGTCGACGCCCAAAATTGTGTCGAAGTCGAACATGCCCATGAACAGGATGACAAAGAATGCCAATAGGATGGCTCGACGGGGCATGCCGGTATCAGGGTGACGTCTGACGGCAATCAATCAACATCATTGTTACATCGTTTCATCATCAAATGTCGTTTCCGAAAATAGCAAGATCAACGTACTGGGCAAAGTACGGTGGTGCCAGACCTGAGTCGGCCATACCAGCAAGTTGGAACCCGTCCTTGGTCATTTCCGCGAGATAAAGACCAAGGTTTCCAACGACAGACGAAATGAGCACCCAAATGCAGAGCCACGTTCCGCCAATCCTTTGCGCAATGACCGAGTACGATCCGTCGTCCCACGTCGTATAATGTGGCATATCTGCCCCAGAGATGGCGATAAACGGGATGATATACCTAACACACAGAAGCAAGTTAGTACAGAAATTACGACCTTATTACGTCCTCAGCTCTACATACCCACGAAAACCGCAACTACAGGCGCGCTCAAATAACGCGTCTACTACACAAATTTAATCAGTGGTGAAGGTTGATAGTGCAAGGCTCAGCTAGCGGTGAAAATGCAATGCAGGCGCTGCAACTACCGTCGAATGATGGACAGGAGAGGGTGCACAGCATGTGAAACTGTGTTCCTGCTGTACAAACGTTTTGGTGGCATTTGCGTCGATACCGACAAAAGCGCATTTACCTTACTCACAACCTGGTCAAGCACAGAGGTGATGAAGTCAGATAGATATACGATATTGAGCTAGAAGGCTGTTGGTAGTGGTTTAAACTCAATGCATTAATAAGCACAGCAGACTAATCACTAATCTCGTTCTTGCTACCGATGACCCTAGTATCGCGTCAATTGCTCGCATTATAGCTTTGGAGTTTCTTGCGTCTTTTGTCGGGAAGATAAGTTCTAGAGAGACGCGCATATGTGTGTGTCGTCTAATCTTGCCCGGACTCGTCAAGACGACAATCGCACCTTAGTTGCGCTTGAGAGACCGAACCAGATTCCGGACCTCCGCTGCACTTCGTTCCCCGAGTCCTGCGATGAACTTGAGTGGTTTTCCCAAAGGACCTAAGGTAAACTTCTTTGTCGTCACTTTCGCAATAGGATCCATCGTGGTCGCACCAATCCTCTCTTCATCGTTTGTGCCGATAGCGTCATCGGCGGCGTATACTCCCCGTAGTTTGCCGGTTCCATTGTCAATGTACGGACCGTTCGCGAACGAAAGCGACGGGATGTGCTGGTCGGCACTGCAAGCGATAGCGGCCGCTACAGCGAGCGTGGCGACGATCAGGCGCATGATGTACTTGGTAGATCGGGTGGTGGCAACTCGGACGTGAATTGAAAAGTGACGGCCAAGGAGGTCTTCCTGTCAGATGTTGCTAAATCAAGTATTTTAAAATCTGGCGGTCATCGATGTATTTCGTATTTAATTGAATCGTTTACACCTCGTCTGACCAAAAAAGGCAGCGAAAATTTTACTCCCGCACAGCTGCCTGTATCGATCACAGCTTGTTGTGGTGGTGGTGTGGTGTCAAGTACGTCCATTATTATGATAACTAACGACTGATAAGTGTGACAAGAAGTACGGCCCGGGTATCGGGTCGACAACTAAAGGGCTCCGTAGAGCCAGGGGCGACGGCAACGAGGTCAGAGACCCTCCTACCGAAGCCAACTACGAGTCAATCATGACCGCTGGCGCGACCAAGTAGACTGGGGACATGCGTACCGCCTGAGCGGAAGCACGTACAACGCGGGTATGCTGCCATATAAGGCAACAAACCCCTTTAGGACCGCTTGCACGGCCCCCGACGTGGAGTGCGAACACCGAAGTGACTGCGTGGCGTGGAGAACGCCAACCCGCCATATATCTCTCCGAGGAGCTCAACCATCTGCGATGGTGGCTCCCTTCAGCCGCTTGCGCGGCCCCCGACGTGGAGTGCGATCACCGAAGTGACTGCGTGGCGTGGAGAACGCCAACCCGCCGTATATCTCTCCGAGGAGCTCAACCATCTGCGATGGTGGCCCCCTTCAGCCGCTTGCGCGGCCCCCGTCGTGGAGTGCGATCACCGAAGTGACTGCGTGGCGTGGAGAGCGCCAACCCGCCGTATATCTCTCCGAGGAGCTCAACCATCTGCGATGGTGGCCCCCTTCAGCCGCTTGCGCGGCCCCCGACGTGGAGTGCGATCACCGAAGTGACTGCGTGGCGTGGAGAACGCCAACCCGCCGTATATCTCTCCGAGGAGCTCAACCATCTGCGATGGTGGCCCCCTTCAGCCGCTTGCGCGGCCCCCGACGTGGAGTGCGATCACCGAAGTGACTGCGTGGCGTGGAGAACGCCAACCCGCCGTATATCTCTCCGAGGAGCTCAACCATCTGCGATGGTGGCCCCCTTCAGCCGCTTGCGCGGCCCCCGACGTGGAGTGCGATCACCGAAGTGACTGCGTGGCGTGGAGAACGCCAACCCGCCGTATATCTCTCCGAGGAGCTCAACCATCTGCGATGGTGGCCCCCTTCAGCCGCTTGCGCGGCCCCCGACGTGGAGTGCGATCACCGAAGTGACTGCGTGGCGTGGAGAACGCCAACCCGCCGTATATCTCTCCGAGGAGCTCAACCATCTGCGATGGTGGCCCCCTTCAGCCGCTTGCGCGGCCCCCGACGTGGAGTGCGATCACCGAAGTGACTGCGTGGCGTGGAGAACGCCAACCCGCCGTATATCTCTCCGAGGAGCTCAACCATCTGCGATGGTGGCCCCCTTCAGCCGCTTGCGCGGCCCCTTGACGTGGAGTGTGCGCTCGCCGCAGCGGCGACACGTGGCGCGGGGTACGCCTCCAGTCCGTAAAACACCCCTGCTAGGGCCGCTTGCGCGACCCGTCGGTCTCCTACGCCCACACCCGCGACTGCGAGTGCAGCGTGCCCGCGTCAGATCTTCGACCACGTCGGCTCCCCAAGGGGAGGATTCCCTCCGACGTGACTGCCCCGAAGGGAAAAAGACTGGCTTGAGCTGAACCGTGAAAATTTGGGAATGTTCACAGCTTGTTTTCCAACGACACCTCAATCGATGTGAAGGCATTGAAGGCCGCCGTTTTACCGCTGAAGATGCTACTATACGCAATCCGATCAGTCTTTGGAGGGGAGAAAACGGCTCCTGAATCCTGACGGTCGAGCAAAAAGAGCCAGAGAGACGATCGAGAGTGAAATTGTCCCATTTACAATCCCTGACTGTTTTCACGAATCTGGTCTCGTGCTTGAAGACGAGAGGAAGTAGACTCACACGTGCTCTTGACAAGCACGTCATCCCAATGCATGTAAACTGGAGTGTTGTCTTTTGCAATGGATAAATGATTGGGCAACTCGCACACCCGCTCAATCATGCAGAAAGTAGAAACACGACGACGTGCCGTTTTAGATAAATGAGACTCCACGATGACGTGCAGTCACACGAACATGCTTGTAGCGTCATTAGCTCACCATCTTATAGCCTTGAAGCGCATCAAATATTGTCACAAATCGTGGCACGGGGCTATTCTCAGGAGAAAGTACCCGGCATCAAAGTCATATACAAACTTGCCATGACTGGGCTGTTGTATATCGGACACACTCTTGCTAGCTACCTAGTACATCACTTGCACTAATGACAGTATAGACGCGGGCTCCTTGAACCTTTGGTGCACCGAATATGCAGGGGAAGGGGGGACAGACTGAAAAGAGTCGCTTCGAATGTCGAGAAAGTATATGGTATATGGCATAGTTACGTCATTAAATAAAAACCGCATTCGTCTTTCTTAACTATGCTTTTTGCCACTCCTAACATACTGCTTACCACCATTGCGCTCGTATAGAAGAGCTTGGTTGTTTACTTGGTTGATATCATGGCATATTCCATTCAATGAGTGGAAGAGTGCTGAATATTATCTTTGACAGCAACAATCCTTCAATACTCACTCGATAAAGAAAATGTTGGGTGCAAGTATCGAATAAGACAATTCGAACTGACTAACCTGCTCAAAATTTCATGTAACGGGTTTATATCCGCTACATTAACCTCTGAAAGCAGTTACATTCGTGATTGGTTGATGGGTATTTGGTGGCAGAGTGACCACAGCTAGGTCATTCTAGGAAAGGGGAGGGAGTATTGTCGGTCTGATTCAATCCGATCCGTTTTGGATCTGTAACGGGGCACTGGTGACAACGCACTGGTTGTGTAACGGGGCAGCCCGTTACATGGAAATGGTCATTAGCGAGATAA